CACCTTCAACCACATTCTCGGACCATTTCTCAACACACTCTGCCAAAAAATTCAACACCCTTTCCGTTGGCCAGTGTTTTTCTACACTTTCAAACGGACTTTTCCCCACATTTCCCATTGTCAAGTGTTTTCTATATTTTCCAATGGTGCCAAAAGCTTTACGAAATTGACCGCATGCATTTTAGAGTTGCTTTTGTTGTTTCTTACGACCTCGAATCAATTAATTAATCGATGCTTCTTTGAGAAAAGTTCGGTTTCCCTATCAATCGATCCATTTCGAAGTGAGAATCTTCATCTCGTGAATGTTTTTACGAGCTTTTTATCTTGCAAAAGATCATACCAACGATAGATATTCATACTCAAGGATTCGATTTCCTGAAATATCGCTGAAAAGCATAATAAGCATATCCATAATCCACCTTGAAGTATTTACAATCAAAGCCGATTGTGTTTTGAGATATCTCGGCAACAAAATTCAGTTTTGTTTTGCGATAAGGCCTCTCATCCACTGGAAGCGGAAAGCTGCGAACTGCGAAGCAACGAATTCGTTCGAACGTCATTCGTACGAAGTCGTGCGATCGTCCATTGCCCAAGTATTCGTCCGGATTCGTAGTAGGCGAGATGGCTCTTCGGAACGGGTTTTTTGATTATTCTGACGAAGAATTTTTGCCTTTGGAATTATCACCTTTTATTCATCGTCGTATCAGGCGATATCGCCTGTACCCATTTACGAAATTAAGAAAGTTCGGTAAATTTTCTCATTTGTGGCATGATCTTTAAAACGACGATGACCACAACTTTTTTCATTTTCGAATGAGAAAAGACACATTTCAATACATTATGCACTAGATCGCAATCGTATCCCAGAAGAATGGAATGGGTTAGCAATTCGCACTTAGTCGGACTTAGTCGGGCCATGTGTTTGGATCGTTCGTGCGTTGCCGTGCGAATTCTGACGAATCGATTTCGCAACTTATCCGCCCCCAGTGGCCGAGGGCCTAAAATTCGCATAATCTGCATTTAAGGTTTTATCTCCGGAAAAATTCGTACTGAGCTGATTTTGGTATACACCTTCATTATGTCGTTTTAATGAAGATGTGAAAAATCGACATTGATATCGTGCCGGCTAAAAAAGGGTCAAAAGGTCACGAAAATCAGTTTTTCGGGAATATCTCGCGACCTATGGCTCGGAGGTCAATAAAGGTCATTATAAAACTTATTTTTCATACGATTATCTACAAAAAATGTCTTGCATTTTTCTGTAAAGTCAACCGTTTTAGGACTAGAGCGCTGAGAAAGCGACTACATTATGATGATGCACTCGTTTCCGCACCACCTTTGGGGTAGAATGCAAGGCGCGTTTTTTTACATGGTTTTCCCCGTAGACATAATCCATGTACTGTAATAAAAGGTTTTTTTTTATTTTATGCTCAATAATTTTTTATTTGTACATTCAAAAATAGGGAAAAAAATTTGTATATAATTTTGTTTTATATTCATTCGTCGTCGATATCCTCAATTTCAACTTCATCAAAAGTTGCTGACAAAACATCGAGTGGACTTATTGCTGTATTTAAATCGACATCTTCATCATTTTCTTCACTAGTGGACTCTGCGTTTAAGCATGACTGACCACGACAATGTCCACAAGCTTTAGAGCATCTTAATCCAATTTTTTTACATCCACATTTGCCGCCACAATCTTTTGCACATTTACAAAAGATTGTGTTTAGTAGATCATCGGGTGCTGGTGGCAATAAAGTTGTTATTGATTGTAATATATTATTTTTCAACTCCCAACCCCACTTTCTGCATCAATTTCTTTTCCTAGCGAGGTTTGTATTTGATAATAGGCTCGATAAATATGCTGTTGAGCTGCTGAAGAAGTGGGTAGAAATAATTGAAATTTCACAGCTGTGCTTTGTCTTGTTAGTTTAGCAAAGCTGCAGTATCTGTAATTGTCAATTGAATTTTTTGATTTTGGAGCACCGTACATTGCTAGGACATCTCGAGCGCAATTTGCGTGTTGGAATATTTCTGCAGAATTGTGTAAATCGGGTCTTTTTTCAAACATCTTCATGACTTTAATTTTAGCTTTTTCAAAAAGTGTTGAAGTTGTGTCACATCCAGTCACAGCATGTAGAAACAGAATATTTTTCTTGCAGTGTGGATACTTTTTGAGGCTCTCAGTCGAGTATATTTTTGTTTCAACATTGTTTTCCCTGGTTTCTTAAAAAAAATGGATGTAGGTTGATCAAGTATTTATCTGCGTGCTATGAGAAGTACCGATAGATCTATGTCTTCGCCAACGATAATTGTAGTAATATTTATTAATTTTTCAATTGCTGTTTTAACTAATAAGACGTCATCATCATCACGTGATTGTTTTGTAGAAATACCAACTTTTTGAAATTCTCAATTTGCATTTCAATTAATTTTCATTTATTGAATCGATTAGATAACACTTGTATACATTGACAAAAAGCAAGAGATGACGCCTTATATGTATACGGTATACAATACCCTATGTGAGTGCATTCTACTCGCTTTCTCAGCGCTCTAGCCCCAAAACGGTTGACTTCACAGAAAAATGCAAGAGATTTATAATGACCTTTAGTGACTTCCGAGCCATAGGTCGCGAGATATTCGCGATAACCTGATTTTCGTGACATTTTGACCCTTATAACTTTTTTAGCCGGCACGATATCAATGTCGATTTTTCACATCTTCATTGAAACGCCATAATACCAAATAATATCAAAATTCAGCTCAGTAGGAATTTTTCCGCATATTGAAGTTTTTGTTGTTGTGAGTAAATATATATTAGATGTTAAGGTGTATAAAAAATATATAAAAAGAAATTGTATTATGTGTTTTGTTCCTAAGGTAACGTGTAAGCGACAACGTGACGTCACTGCGGCGCGTTAACTGAGTTTGTTTTGCCTTTTTTTTTTTGTTATTATGAGTAAATATATATTGGATGTTAAGGGGTAGTCGTTTCTTTGGTGTGAATTGATTATTCAGTAATTTTTACCTATACGCGTAACCTGTTTATTATTGTAATATAATTGTTAATCGTCTTTATATCGTTCCGATTTGTCTGTTCATACCCAGTCATTCTGGGCAGTCTACTAGTTAAGACTGGCTCATTGATAACTAGCGGCACCCATTTGAATCAACTCAGGAAAATCTGATAAAATTGATCTCGTGGACCCACCCCGACCGACACTTGACCTTGGGTACGAGTTCACGCACCTCAGCTATTGGACAGATGAACAAGGGTACATGATATTATTTGAGTAGTGCGTAACAAAGTAAGGGGTCAGTTTCCAACTATTCCGGAGCCCATTCAGCGAATACACGACGTAGTCTATAGTCGTTTACCTTCAGTTCCTGGGTTACTTGCATTTCAAACGGGTGCAGGCCCAAGCACGACATGAAATTTGTCAAGTTGTGGGCTGCGAAAGGCCGAGTTCTTGTGAGCGTAGCAAATTTGCCTGCCCCGGATTCTCCAGCACACTCTCACAGACATCGGAGATGTTTTTGGAAGATCTTGCGTTTCATCGATGTATGAATGTTGATCTATCGTTTACTGAACCAATGCACTCAAATGTATCCGCCAAATTGCGAATAATCCTTTCGGCGACCGAAAAATGGCAAAGCGCGCGGAACGTTGCCCGAACAGAACACCCATTTCGATATAACAATTCAATTGTTCGTACGTGTTGTTTAATGCCATATCCGTCCATGGTGATTTGGCAAAACAGACTGAATAAATGACAAATAATTTGACAGATGTAGCTTCAACTAGATGGCCCTGTCCCTGTTGGGACTATATTCCAATAAACTATGTTTTTCAGATAGATATGGTAAAAGTATTTTGATCCCGTCAACATAGCAAATAAGAATTTAAAAAATTCTTCTTTAGTGTTCATTCGTTTATTTGTCTATTCATTCCATTCACGTAGCAGCTGAAACGTTCATAGTTGAATAACAAAGTTAAGAAGTATATACTTTCAATGGTGGAGCGGTAGCCTGGTGGGTTGACGTGGGTGGTTTGCTTCACTCACTCAATCCACCGCTGTGTGAACCGGTGGTTCAAACCGCCAGGTCGAACAATCGATTTTCACTTCCTATCGTCCAACCCGTGTTAGAAATCACACGTTCAAAGGCGAGACCTCGTTAGTCCTTAGCTTGCACAAGTTTCGACTTTTGAGAGTTGTCGTTCGTCGGGGGCGACAGCTCGTTAACGGAAAAACAGATTTTATAACAGATTTTTTAATTTTTTTTAACGAAGGTTTTGATTGTATTCTCAGAATGTAAGGTGCCAAATTGCCAAAAACTTGAATGAACTGCGTTGCAAAAGTTTCAAGCTTCGAAGAACAAGACCGTACACTTCAGTTCGTTATCTCCAACCGAGAATGCAAGGGAACAACGTATTGAACGAGTTTACTTTCAAGCTTTACTATGTAAAACTAATGTTGCGAAACAGAGATATAATTTAAAATTACATTATCATTTTTAGCAAATTTATTTGGGATTTCGTTTTTCAACACGAGAATATATTATTGAAATAAAAGTTCATAATTTTGTGAAAATGGTTTAAGCAGGTTGTTCACCCATATACACCGTTTGCTGTCATGATAAGAAAGTGGCATTTGACGAGTGTTTATTAATAGAAATGGAGTCTTTACATTTTTTACTTTTGAATGGCCGTATCTCTGAAAGCAAATTATATCTATTTATATATTTTTTTACTACTCTTGAAATGCAACTTATATTGATCATGATGAACCGCAAGACATGCCCATGAAAATGAAAATGAAATGTGTAATAAATACGATGAAGAATCTGGCATAAAACACTACTCACTGATTAATTTTAATGCAACTTCTTTGTAAATTTCATTACGGACAATATTTTGTCTCTATCACAAAGACTGTTGGTGGATTATCGGTGGTATCTCAACACATTTACTATTTCACTTATCTTATTTTCAGGACTTAGTGGATCACAAATAGACATTGAACATAGAAGAGAAACCTTTGGATCAAATTCAATTCCTCCAAAACCACCTAAAACATTTGCGCAATTAGTATGGGAAGCTTTACAGGACATTACCCTTATCATTCTAGAAGTAGCAGCCATAGTGTCTTTATTGCTTTCCTTTTATCAACCTGCAACGGAAGAATCACGTGAGTTTTCAATATATATGAGTGCATTATGTTAAACATAAATTCCCAAACTATTTCAGCATTATAGAGGATATTTTCTAGCAGCTTGTATTATCCTTGCATTATCATTTCTAGAAACATGTCGATTGGTTTTTTTATGGCAATTCGGGAGGGCTTCCAAAATTTCTATTGACTCGGTTGTCCGTTTTGAAGATTGGTCAAATCACCAACGCTGACATAAAAACTTGGAAGCTAACTTGGGTGTCACACCAATAGGTGGTTCCACTTATGTCTCGCTTGCGTGTGTAACACCAGTAGGTGGTTTCTCGCTTGTGTTTACGCAGCTTGTTTATCAAGTACTCTTCTTGGTTTTGCACATTTTGTCTTTAATCGAGGATTATTGTTAAAATGTGATATTTCAAAGAATTTATTGATAGTCTAGGACTAATAGACTTTCTCTATTGATAAAATTGCAGGTGGTTGATTTTTTTACTATATTTTCATTTCATCTTGAACAACCCCTAAATAAAATAATTCACGTAAATTCGAGAGATGCACACTGGGATCAAAGCTCGTGAAAATCATCAAAATGCTAAATTTTTCGTATGTCTCCGCGTGGGAATGGATATCTTATAAATGATAAGAGATAGAGAACAGGTTAAAATATGGTAGAGTTGTCTATTTCCGGGTACTATTGAACGATACCAAAAAATTTGATGCTGGTGACAAACATGAAAACGCGAAAATATCGAAATTCTATTTTTTACTGTATTTTCTTTATCTGCAGAGAAAATATGTTCATACCTCACCAATGAAACGGTCTTTGTACAGAAAATTAACATATTATTTTCATACAGAGTCATCCGACTTGGGATTCCCTCAAATTCGAAATATCAAATATGGGCCTGTATTGTTTATAGCAAATTTTTTATCAATCCTGTTCATATAAATTCATGTAATTTGATGATCATTGAATAAATGAATATTTTTTTATTACTGCTCTGATAATTGCTTGAATGGAAGCGATTCTTATTCTATCTACCGCAGCTGATTCTCGAAAACTTCACTAATAATTTGTAATTTATATCACAAACCTCTAATATTTCGAATGTGGTTTTCAGAAGTTTATAAATAAAAATTTAAACCAAACCGGAGTAGTACTCGGAAATTGGCAACTCTAACAAAATTTAACCTACTCTCTATCTCTTAACGTTTAAGATATCTCCATGCATAGACCTGAATTCAAATGAGTCCTGTATAATGTTTGTAGTTCTAAAAGTGATGATTTTCTTGAGTGGCTATGAAAAACACAGGAGTAAGTAAATTGCTCATAAAGCACCGATTATTGAATTATGAATTTTTCACATATTTTATTCAAATGTACTATCTTTGCTGACAGTGATGTGATATTTTTAGACACCACCTCATTCTTAAAAAACTTTTTTTAGTTCAATAATCGAATTTTGAATGAATTGTTTTATTCATATCGATTCATATAGATATAATGATTATATTCCGGAGAAGTGCATATGACATGCTCCCAGGTTCAGGTGAAAAATCCCTCTGTGTGTGTGTGTTTTTTCATTATTGGTTTGAGTTGAATTTTTACTTTGCAATTAGTTTTTGTTTGAAAAGTGACTAAACATGGGACCCACCATCATGTACTAGTTTAGACCTATAAAATTTGACATTTTCTGAAGACTTTTCGAAAAATCGGGTTGCCTTTGAGTATTTCTAAAAATGCATAGTTAAAAATTTGACCAGTTTTCAATTTTATACGCCTTCACCAAATTTTAATCCAATGATATTTCAAATTTTTCCAATTTTCTTCAATTGTTTCATTCGAAATATTTGTTTCTGATAATAACCAGACCTTCACTCAAATCTTGTCCAGAAAATATTTTTGTTGACCTATTACCATTAAAAAAAATACATATACCTCCAGCAGTTCAGTCGTCGTGCAAAGTTCTTCTATCTTTTTAATTCAAGCAGAAATTATGTTGCTGGGATTTGTTTTGTCGATTAATGAAATGTAGTTCGTTTTTCACTTTTGGTATACTCTTTCTTTGTATTTTATTAAACTTGTATTTCACAGTCCAATAATTTCTTAGAAAATAATACTTTTCCGCAAACTCAACACTTTTAAAAAGTTTAATGATTTTCATATCCAACATTTTTATTAATTTATCTGAAAAATGTATTGATTCATTAATTCATTCAATTAATCTATTTCTCGACAAAAAAATCTGAGCTACATTGAATCAACTTTACATCAAAAATGACTATCGTCTGTAGGTGTATTCTTTTTTTTTTCTTTTGGTAATAGGTCAACAAAAGTATTTTCACGTAAGATATTGCATGTAGGTCTCGCATTCATCAGAAATATGAAGTTCGAATATGTTTCCTTCTAATTGATATAACAAACAAAAAAAAATGAACTGAAGTCATGTTTCGAACTAAAATGAACTGCAACGTCAAATTTCAATTGAATACATCGATAATAAAAGTAACATATATGGTGTCATATGTAGTGTTATTTGTAGACTGTGGAAAATCTACTAAAATGTGTTGAAATCACAAAATTTTGTCAGTTTTGTTATTTATGATGGGTACGGCCGAGTGTAACAAACAGGAAAAGTGAATTGTTTAATTTGTGAAAATATTGGCCTTGAATATTTTTCCTCCCAGACAACAAAAAAACGCCGTGTACAGTGATTTAGTGATTTTTCGTCACTCGGTATAATAATCCAAATATCTTTGAAACTATCATAAAAAAAGATATATCCATTTTTTGATATTCTCTACAACAAGAGTCAAGAAGCAATTACTTTAACAAAAAAGTATCGGTCTTTATTTTAGAGAAATGTATAAGAAACAAAAAAGGTAATCTCATGGCCATTTCTGGATATATTAATAAAAGTTTATTTTGTCATTCAACCATTTCTTTAGAACGTTTTTTGTGGTGGTTTTTCATGATAAAATGAGATTCTAGTGAAAATTGAACTAACTGCAGTTTTATCTGTTCAACTGCCTCTCTGGCACCTATAGTCTGAAATAATTTTTTTTTGGATAAATTCATGTTTTTAATGAAAGCAATATTTGATACAATGATATTCAAAATTGGTAAATATGTCACCTGAATGCTGAATCAGTGACAACAAATTGTTTAGATAAAACATTATCTATTTTATGTTGCAGCAACAGCTGCAACATAAAATTTTAGGTCAAACTGAAATTGATTTTATAGCATTTCGAATTTCATTCATTCATCTTTTATTCAAACAGGGTGTTTGCGGTTGACTGCTGTTTCCTTCCAACTCTACGAGTTTGTATAAATTAATTTTTTTTCAGTTCTTTTTTTATCAATCACTGACAGCCCTTCCCTGTGTTGACTCATCTTTTTCAGGGCTAAATGTTCTTTTGTAATATCTTCTTGTTACTTTCTCAAGATATATGATGGAATTGGCCGATACTTGATGAAAATCCAAACTTAACGTATTTAAAAAACACTTCATTGTGAAATTTTCACTAAACAGTATTACAAAAACCATAAAATGGCGTGTCTTTACTGACACGGCCGAAGAAGCCATTGTATGGCGAAACACGTGTTGCGTTTTTGTAAAATCGTTTAGTGAAAATCTCACAATAAAGTGTTTTTGAATACGTCACTTTCTCAATTCATTTTTCTTTATATCAATGCATACACCGGCGATTTCGTCAACCGCACGTTTTTTCATTTAACAATTTTTCCTGTAGGAAGTGAATTTGATTAATAGGGTGCTAGACTCTTTCAATGAGATAATAAATTCTTATATTACCCGCTTCGTTGTTTCTCCCCTGCCTCCGTATTCTTTGTAGCAGATGAAACTTTTCACGTTCTCTGTATCCATTTTTTTCTTTTCATTCCAATGGTTTGACCATTCGACTCAAAAAACCCCTTTTTCATTATTATGAAAATTGGATCAGAACATGCTTGGGGTACAATTTTATTCAATTTTAAACAGATGCAGCACACATCTTTAGTATGGTGTTTGATGTCCCAAAGCTGACCCAAAGGTTTTGAATCAAGTCTACACATGCCTGTACCAGAAATAACCAAAAAATAGCAGTTTCAATGCTTTTCTGTGGTATAATATTTTCGGGCATTGTTTAACTTTTCTGGAACTTCATCTAGCTTTTCCTAATACGACTAATTACCAGTCCGTGCAAAGCTTATTGTTAAATCATTGCGATTTTAATTTCAGTAATAGTAGTAGTGTTCGTAACAGCCTTCAATGATTATACAAAAGAAAGACAATTTAGAGGGTTACAGAATCGAATAGAAGGAGAACATAAATTTGCCGTAATTAGACAAGGAGAAGTGAAACAAATCTCAGTCAGTGATATAGTTGTAGGTGATATTTGCCAAATTAAATATGGGGATCTTTTACCAGCTGACGGGATTCTTATTCAATCAAATGATTTAAAAGTGAGTATTACCCTTTATACAGATAAAAGAAGTCAGTCGTCAGCAGCCTGGAGGTGGTCGCTATATGAAGTTATCAAAGTTTGAATAAATTCATCGAAATAACCATTCATAATACTGAATTAACTATCAAATTTATTGCTTCATCAAGACGGAAAAATATACTAACTTTTCAAAATAACACCAATAGGAAATGACATAAATTTCATCTAAGAATACTTTTTTGAATGTCGGCCAAATTTAATTTCCTACTGCTGACGATGTACAGAATGTTTTTATAAACGGGAGTTCCTGAGGCAGGTGAGGCTCTATCTCTTGCCAACTTGTTGTTCTTCAAGTAACTGTAGTTGTAATCAGTTTTAGTCTGGCATTTAAATGATGTCAGAAGATTAGCAATTTCTTTCTTGAATTGTGCACTCAGATGGTAATATTCATTAAAATTAATTTTACAGATAGACGAGTCCTCACTGACAGGTGAATCCGATCATGTTAAAAAAGGCGAATCATTTGATCCAATGGTACTGTCTGGTACTCATGTTATGGAAGGCTCCGGAAAAATGCTGGTTACCGCCGTTGGTGTTAACTCGCAGGCCGGTATCATTTTCACTCTCCTGGGAGCTGCTGTCAATGAACAAGAGGCCGAAATCAAAAAGATGAAGAAAGGTATGCCGTAATTCTGTCTTTTCGCATGTGTTCATTGATTGGTAACATCCTGTCTCCCTGCTCCCATTCTTACAACCTCTCACTTTCCATTTTGAGGATATTTTTGGCATGAAATATTTGATTGATATAAACCATGCAATTATTTTTTGAGATGTTGAAGGATATCCTCAAATTTTACAAGGGAAAAAGTGATGTTACTTGCATTGAAATACTTAAATGTACTTATCATTGTTAGATGCACTTCCCCTTGAGTGTAATAATTTTATCCTACATATATAACACATACATGAAATATTTTTGGAATATATTTGCGTTTTCTCACGAGATGGCAGCGCTGACAAAATAGAATATTGAAAAATCGACCATTTTTATAGAATGCTTGTTATCAATAGAGAGGTATTATCAGTGTCACTATTATTCGGGTTTGAAGGCCGTCTATTTTTGGAATTTCTTCCTGACGTTTCACTGGCGCGAGTAGCTAGCGTCTTTAGAGGTTTATACATCCTGAGTTTATATAACACGTATTTGACGCTATTAGTTTGATGTGCTAATACCTGTACCTGGATCAGGTAAATTGCCTAAAGCATTTTTAGTCGACTGAGGTAGTCTGGTGTGATAATACCTGTACCTGTATTAGGTAAATTGTCAAAGACATTCGTTGACCCTTTTTTACCTGCCGTCATGCTGTTTGCTATCGGGTACACTGTGTCCATTTGATCTCAAGATCACTTGAAGGTGTTCCAGTTCTTCCTCTAGATGCTCTGGTTTACATATTCTTCGAGCATATTCAGTTAGAGTCGAGATGACTCCTCTCTTTTGACTAAGATGGTGGTTTGATAGTGCGTGCAGTTACCTATCCGTGTGCGTGGGTTTTCAGTACACTTTGTGGATTAGTCTAGCACCACATCGTTCGATATCTAGGAATGCTATCCGCTGGTCCTGTTCAGTCATCATGGTGAACTTGATGCTGGGGTGTTGAGCTTTCAAGTGGTCAAGAAAAAGGTTAGAGCGTTTCTTTCATGTTTCCAGATGTCGAAGGTGTCATCCACGTAACGTAGCCACCAAGGTCGGTTTTAATTCAAAGATGTCGATTGCTTTCTCTTCAAAACGTTCCATGGAGTAGTTGGCTATCACTGGGCTAAGTGGACTTTTCATCACTACGTCCTCTAATTGCTCATAGAAGTTTCCCCTTCATTGAAAAAAACTCCTGACATCACTTGGAAACAAGTAGGCTAGCCCCCTCAGAGAGTCTTTCAGTGGGACACAACGTCGAAGCTGATCAGAATATATGTCGGTTCCAGAGTCAATAATTTTACCAACGAAGTCTGTCGAATTCTTGACGTAGGAGTTTGTCTTTCCCACATGATGCTGGAGGAGCGAGGCCAGATGCTTCGCTAGGTGGTAGGTCGGCGAGCCTGAGGCACTGACTATTTTGGTCTCAGTACCATGTTGGTTTTATGTATCTACGGTCTTCCGAAAGTACGTGGATGACACCTTCGTCATCTGGAAACATGGAATCGATGTTCTAAACCTTTTCCTAGACCACTTGAACGCCCAACACCTCAGCATCAAGTTCACCATGGAGACGAAACAGGACCAGCGAGTTGCATTCCTAGATATACTCATCGAACGATGTGCTGTTAGACTAACCCACAAAGTGTACCGAAAACCCACGCATATGGATAGGTAACTGCACGCACTATCAAACCACCATCCTAGTCAAAAGAGATGAGTCATCTTGACTCCAACTGAACGGGCTAGAAGAATATGTGAACCAGAGCATCTAGAGAGAAAACTGGAACATATTCAAGTGACTATGAGATCGAATGGATGCAGTGTGTACCGTAGATCAACAAGGCTATGAAACTGTAGAGTTCCACGGTTCAAAACGTGGAGTAGGCTGAGATGCGTGCACGTGCGTATCTACCATATATCCTTAGGGTCACAGGACATAATTTGAAAACTCGTGGGTAAACACAACATTAAAACGGTTTTCAAACCCACCAAGAAGATCAACAAAGCTTCAGGTGGGCTAAAGTCAAACAAAACCACTACCAGCAGCAGGGGTAAATCGCATACTGTGTACTTGTGGGAAGGTATACATCAGAATCACCAAAAGATCCATGGGAACAAGGCTGAAAGAGCATGAAAGAAACTGCAGACTAGGCCAAACGAACAAGTCGGTTGTGGAGGAGCACGTACTCAGCGACAGAAACCACAGGATTCTGTTCGAAAACACGAAACTCATTGCCCACAACAAGGAATACCATAGCTGACTGGTACAGGAGGCAATGCAGATCCAAAAACACACGGATAATTTCAACAAAAAAGACGAAGCTCTGAGCCTCAACCAAATATGGAATCCCATTTTAAGAAGTTCAAAAATAGCAAACAGCATGACGGCAGCAGAAAAGGGTAGACGAATGTTATTCACAATTTACTTAATACAGGTACAGTTATTAGCACACCAAATTATCTGAGTCAGCCGAAATACGTTGAACGTAGCCATAATATCCAGTCATCGGAGATAAACCTCAGGATGTATAAACCTCTGAAGAATCTAGCTCTTCACGCCAGTGAAACGTCAGGAGGAAATTTCAAAAATCGACGGGCTTCTAACCTGAAAAAGAGTGACATTGAAATCCTCGGTCGCGAAAACCTCAACTATTTTGACAGAGGTATTATTTTCATACATAGAATTGGAGCCTTTGGCATAAAATGAATATATTGAAAACACGTTCCCCACACTAGAATTAAAAATTCTGTTAGCACGATCAGCAGATAAATCTAACTTGGTTAGCGAAACACGCGACACGAGACAGTCTTTTTGTTTTGGTTGGGAAGGTGTTCTCGAAAGATACGTTGGTAATAGAATGATCTGAATCCAATAGCTTCATTCAACGAAGTGACTTATTTTTATCGGTGTTTCAAAGTGTTTCATTTGTCAGTGTTAGCTTCAGTGGAGAGTTCTCTCAATGGTCAACATATTATACAGTGATAATTGTTTAGTGTAAAATCTCGGAAACTGAAATTCATTAATTTTTCCTCTCATTCGATAGAAAATTCTACAGTGAGTCTTGTAATATCCATTACAACTTTCCCGTTTTGGTTCTTTCAGGGATTTCAAATCATTTTATATAGTATCAGACAATGGAAGTCCGAACTAATGAAATTCACTTGACAACACAAACATGAAATATTCACTTATTATTTTCGAACATAAATATTCTAAAGAAATGGTTTCGGATAACAGTTATTCTAATTCGTATCTAATAACTGTACTGAACAGATTAATTCAATTTGGAAAAAATAATAGATTGTAGAAGTTCTACTTCCCAATGACAGTTCGTAAACTTAATTGATGGAAGTAGATTAGCCAACATAACCCATTGAAATTAGATAAGTTCTACTTCAATAATTTGAAAATTAGGCATCTTGGGAAGTTGATATCAATATTACATTCTCATAATATTTGCTATTGAATGATAGAAAATATAATTGAGTTTGTTTTCTTGATCCCATATGAAGAAAAAACTATGTTGACATTACTGAGATGACTCCCCAATTGAGAATTGTTTTGTAAGGTAATTATGTTTCTGGGTATTTTGTTTGCCTGAAAGGTTAGTCGATCATTTCTTTCACTGGGATTGACATCCTTCTACATTTATTGGTAGAAGATTTCGGACATTGATCTTGTGGTTCAAGAGTAAGGAAGACATCATTGCACCAAGGAATGGAAAATCGCCATTTATAATCTATCTGACAATATAGAATGTTATTCTCCACAAAGGCAAAACTGGTATCTAAGTATTACCAATAAATGGTGAGTCCTAAGAGTTGAGAACTCTTAGGACTGCGTTTGTCCGAGGATATAGAGTGAGACACCCCATAATGCTCGACACACTCACAGCAAATGCATAATGGTCTCAGGCACATCACAGTTGTTATCATTTCTTTGAGAATTGTTGAACATATTTACAGATATATAATCGAAATGAAAGATGTACCTTCGATTAATTCATTTTTTGATAAATCGATGGATGTAGCCATTACTATGTGGTGGAGACCATCATGAAAAATGAGGAATGAAACTTTCTAGGTTTTTTATCACGTGTATTTGTAACTAACGTTACTGCAGTTTCGTCCTATAAGGACATTCTCAAACAAATACAATGAAATTGCCTTGAATTTTTCAACGCATATAAAAAAAATAATATTCTGGTCTCTTGATCATGAATTGGAAGACATAATTTGGCATTACTTCCCCTTTATTAAAAAATATTATGAAAATTATTTCTGAAACAAACCATTTTTAATTAAACCTATTCGGTAGACCCTAATTCATTTTTCACAAACATCTTTACCCTGCTCACGGCCTTAATTGAGATTGAATTATATATAAATTTATTCTTTTCCAATTTATTTTTTAGTTTACTTTGATACCTCTCTGCCATGCTTGGCAACTAACTGTCTGCCAGATCTTTAGAAAACACTGTAGCCTTCCATCTTTTCATAACACTTATTGCAACAATCTTGTTCCCTTACTAGTTTGTATAATAGATTCTTTCTTGAAAGTTTGACATTATCTTCTGGACATAATTTTGGTTGTTCTTAAATTGCAACAACTTTTATTCACATCAAACATAACGAGCTGTGTTTGTTCCCAACTATAGTTTTCTAATACTCTTTATGTTTCTTGTTAAACCATTTTCTGATCTGCCCTGTACCAAAGATATTGTACCCTCATAGGACCCATTTACGGAGTTGATGATTTGTGTCTATTTTGTTCTTGCCTGTGATTGCATTGTGTCTGAATACTATCAACATTACCAAAGGAAATTTTGCTACTCAAGTGGCAAAGGAATATGGAAGTCGCTCTCATCGCCTTGGTAGTAGATAGTTCATTTTCTACTCGAGTGTTTCTTCATTTATTTTATGACGAATTGGGGTCAGGGTGGACTGTGTCTATCACTACTATTCTATTGGCCTAATAATTCATTTGTTAGTCAATTACCTAAGCGAGGATTTTACCTGTTGAATTGTACAATTTCAAGTATGATAAGGAATTAGGCAGAAAAATCCATTAGAAATGTAAGTCGGCAAACCAAAGTTTAATTATTGTCATCTTCAGAAAAGTAATAAATTGTACTACATATTCATACCACCGTCTCCCCTGTATAAACTGAAAAATAACAAACTTTTTGGCGTATGGGGTAAAAATGTATGTGAAAGGCGAAATAATACATGAGAAAAATTGTTACCTTCACAAATAATCGCATTCACTACTTTCTACTATTTTTCATTTTCAGTCACTAACTAAAAACGTTTTCTTCAATTAACTTGGGTTATGATGGATTAATTTTTCATCATAAATTGACAAGGGGTCAGATTTCAAAAAATTGAAGAATTTATCTGAACATGAATAGATACCTGAAATGGTTTGATCTATAACCATGTGTTTAGTAATTATTTTTCGAACAAATCAGAAAGACAGCTGAAGAGTTATGGAAATTTGAAGCCTTTCATTATCAAATATTGGTGGGGATCCTGAATAATTTCATGACAATTTATTGATTGTTTTTCCTAATTTTCTAGACAATATAGTTAGTTGTATGTATTCAAGATCCTACTATTTCAAGCTCTTCTCACTCAAACAGGTTCAGACTAAAATGTCTTCTTCCAACTCTCCCAACTTGAATTTGTACAATAAACTTAATGAAGGCCTAACAAAGCTCAGCATGTATCTTTTTAAGAAAAAAATTAAAAAAACATTGAGTGAACATTGCTTTTATTCAATAGAAGAATACATGAACTCCACATTCACTAATCCATTGCTATACATTCACCTTCTTTTTTTATATATTTATTTTTTTTATTTTTACATTTCTATGTGTACTGTTACTGACCTGCTACTCGTGTAAGTTATTCACAGTGAAGTCAATAAAGTTTACTTTACTTTACTTTACATTATGATATCAAGCTATTTTTCTCACACACCGAATCCCATTTTTTACCATTTCATTTGCTTTTGAAGCAATAAGTAATTTCATTTATAAGGAAGTGTGTTTTTCTACAATGCATATAATTTTATCTAACTCATTCTGTACTCAAATTTATTTTTGTTTTTTTTATAATAACCAATTTGTATAAGTCCATAAATCATTATTACTATATGATCATATTACACATCTCAGATTCAGTCATATGAGCTTATAAAATGATACCCCTTAGATATTTTGAGAGCGATTTCTTTTTTTACGTATATATTAGACATAAGACACGTAAAACGATTCCACTCTATTTAACTTGTTAAACGAACGGGAACTTCAGTAAGAATTGTGAGGAGTTAGTTCAAAACATGCAAAAGTTTATGTACTGGCCTGTTCCGAAAATTTGACTTGATTATAGTCTAATCGATATTCAGGCCTAGATAGTTTTGTTGTTTCAACAACTGCTCATGAAAAGGAAAAATAAATTGAATACACAATCATACAGGTCACAGTTAATGGAGTGAATGGAAGTTTACGTGTTTGGTTGTTTCATTTTTCTGACATATTTGCACACATATTTTACCCATGTCAGGACTTTTGGGAGTGTTTTGAGATTGCTAATGTTCTCCTTTTGCATGTGTTTTTGTACAGAAGCTAAAAAGCAGAGGAAGAAGAAAAGTTTAACAGGTGAATAAAATTTTACTTTTATACAATCATTTAAATAACATTTGGACAAATAATTTTTTTTGTCCTCTGAAAAGTATTCTTCGCATGTTGATTGTAGTTTTAGTGATGCTGAATTTAATTCAATTAGAATTTTCTACAGCTTAGATTCTGACTATTCAGGATGATTAATTAATTTTTTATTGAGGAATTGTTTTGAACCTTATTGAGATAATCTTCTTTCATTTTCATACTCTTGGTTCTCTCTGTATAACGGTGGTAGATTCTCAGTACTTAGTATGTCCAAATATACTACAAGTATATTTTGCATTTTATTACGTTGATTCGATGGTATCATGTTTTTTGGGTCTATTTTTTGCACCCAGATTTGAATCACTTTTTCAATTTTTTTCTAAACCACTAAAACATTTGTTGGTGTTCTGTGGTGATTTGTGGGCAATTTCATATGTTTATTACTACCGTTTTATGTTGGTATGCATGCTCTTTTTCAATTTTTTCTTTTGAGAACAGATGATGTCAAATTCGTGAACTGATATGATAGGTTTGTCGAACATTTGTAATGTTAATTTTGCGTGCAGGCGATGAAGAAAACGTGACAGGCAACAGCCACATGAACTCGCCCGCACCAGTAGCAAACAAACATGATGAATCCCAAGGGGGCAAGGAAAACCACGTTCAGTCTGAGAAAGCACCATCTGAAAGTCACAAAAAAGAAAAGTCTGTTCTGCAAGCGAAACTCACAAAACTGGCCATCCAAATTGGTTATGCCGGTTCCACAATAGCAGTTCTGACAGTTGTTATTTTAGTTATACAGTTTTGTATTAAAACGTTCGTTATAGATGAGAAAAAATGGGTAAACTCGTACGCTAACTATCTGGTACGCCACCTTATTATTGGTGTCACCGTACTTGTCGTTGCTGTGCCTGAAGGATTACCCCTAGCTGTTACTATATCTTTAGCTTATAGTGTAAAGGTAAGGACCAAGGTTTTTGTTTCACAAATAAATTTTCAGATTTTTTTGTCTTGAAGTCAATAAAGCCTAATTGTAGTGCAAAAATTCATATCTCATTTATTTTATGACGAATTGGGGTCAGGGTGGACTTAAGTAATTTGTTAATAGACATGTTTAAAAAGATTTTTAATTTTTTTTTTGCAACACGTACAAATTACAAAAATTTTGTACTATCAAAAACATTTAATATTCTCAAAATATCTTTTTTTGGCTATGGACTTTAACGGTTATAGATCTTTCTTGTCAGAGTCTGAAGCAGGTGTTAAAAATTTCACCAAGTCCATCACTAGCATAAATGTATGGTTCGATATCAACAAAAGCGCACAGGTGATCTCCATAAAAAATGTTAATTATAACTTTCCTTTTATATTATATTCTTAACCTGATATCTTGCAAGTTTAAGTATATCAGAATATGGAACATTAGACAGCGATATTTGAGTATACCTACAGAGCTGGTTTATGGTGAGATTGGAATTATTTCAATCATAATGTGTTTGAAATAATAAATGAAAGATAGGATAAGTAGTGGGAATCTTCCAAAGAAAGGAAGGAAGTAATCAATATCAAAAATTAACTGGCACTGAAGAACCGATAAAGCAAGTGTCTTACGGCAAAAGATCGGATGTCTACCAGTGAGGTTGACAGTGTGTGAAATTTCATTCCTTTCATTTATTATACTGTGTAGGAATCCTGTGAAAGATATCTGATTCGATTCCATACGAATGTTTGGAATACAAACAGAATAGGGAAAAGTGTTTTTCGTATAATTCAGCGTTCATATAAAAGTATTTGTTTTGAAAGTATTTTTCTTTTGTGTAATTCAATGTTTATACGAAAATAGCTGTTTCAAGAGGGCTTTTTCTTCAAGTTTGTGCCTCAAAGTTACTTTTTTGCATGATCTACACATCTTTGTACAGATTTAGTTTTTGAAATTGATTGCTTCCTTCCTTCCTTGGGAAGATTTCTACATTTTTTGTATCAAGATGGAGAATTAGAAAGGCAAAACCTTTCTTACAAAAAAAATTATTCCCTCCTAAAAATATACCCTTTCAATTCAAAAAGGGATAAATAGTTTTTGAAAGATAATGCTCAAAGTAAAGAAATGGTTACTGCTCGATGAAACTTCTACAGGAATATGTTTTATATACTTATATATTTATCATATTCAGAATTGACCTTTTAGGATTTCAAATAAATTGTTGGATGATTTGCTTGCCAATAATTGACAATAATATATTGATAACCAAGATGCAGCAACCGTATATATAATAATACATAATATGATATTTTTACATAGCCACTTCTTTCGATGTAGTTATGTTCCAATTTGTTATCAGCTGCCACTGTCAAATCTAGATAATTATGTTTTCTTAGATGTGAAGGAAATTCATGCTACTTCAAAAACATATTGTTTTGGGTTAGTTCAAGTATTGATCACGCATCAGTAAAGATGGGTTGCTTTACGTGTGTAGTATGTGTTTTTTTAATTAATTTTTTTATCAAAGTTCATGTCGAGTAAAAACTCTGAATTTCTTTCAGAAAATGATGAAAGACAACAATTTGGTACGGCATTTGGATGCCTGTGAAACTATGGGTAATGCTACCTCGATCTGTTCTGATAAAACTGGTACTCTTACAACAAATCGGATGACTGTTGTTCAATCATACATTTGCGAACAACTTTGTAAAACAATGCCTAAGTTTTCTGATATTCCCAGTCATGTCGCCAACCTCATCGTACAAGGAATTGCCGTTAACTGTGCTTATACGTCACGTGTTATGGTAAGCCCCTCTTTGTGAGATCTTGCAAATTTATCGAATGGTGATTGTTCGTATTATTACCTTCTGTTTGAAAACCTGTACTTATTTATTATTTATTATACAAAAACAAGCAATTATATTTTGTTAATTGTGTACCTTGTATAAACAGAATATAATTTTACACAAACACAACATATAGTCCAATTAGAAATATTTAACTTATATTGATTTGAACGGAAGCCAAAACTATATTAGAATTACGAAAATATTCCTTGAAAACAATAATATCTGAAAGAAAATTTGAGATCATGAAACTGTTATGTGGTATTTGCTTTGTCATATTTTGTTATGTTGCAAACATGTCAAACATTTATATGTAGAATGTTTGTACTTTTTTTGTCTCATTTATTATGTTTAATTCTAGAATTTTTTTTTAATTTGTTTTCAAATATTTTGCTTTCAATTTGAGAATGTTAAATTTACTATATAGCAGGTTCTCTTTCATTCTAATGGCACATTGTGTATTTTATATATGCATATAAATGAATTTTTTGTTTGGAGGTGGTTGACAATGTTTCATGATGAATTTCATTAGTCTGGACTTCCATTGTCTAATATGATATAAAATGATGAATTTAATTAGTCTGGACTTCCATTGTTTAATATGATATAAAATGATTTGAAACTCCCTGAAACTGAACCTGAACTGAAATTACAATCAAATAAAATACAAGCAACAATTGAAAATAAATAAAAATTAAAAGATCGTCTTCGGGTCATCACCTGAAGACAATTGTGGATACTAACAATCGAAACGTCGTGAAGTAACTTGGCTTAAAATACTTCAATTTCTATTTCTTGTCAACTGTTCAAATTTCACTTGTTGCTTGTATTTTATTTTATTGTAATTTCAGTTCATGGTTTTTTGGCTTAATATAATTGTTGTTTTTTTTTATTCTTTCAGGGATTCAAAATAATTTTATATCATATTAGACAATGGAAGTCCGAACTGAAAACAATTCACAACATAAACAACTCAACATCCTAAATACTGTAATGAAACAGAAATATCACGCTAGTTGCATTTATCCTAACAACTAACCAACATATGTACATTCATCCTAACAACGTTTATTCTAACATCTGATCAAGCATACATTCATTAAATCATTCAATTCATATTCCATTCAGTGAATTGTTCTTTGGTGAAACATTTTTCGCTGAATTCTTTTTTAGTAAATTGTTTTTCAATTAATTTGTTGAATCCCTAATTAATTCGAACATTCGACACCCAGCTTAGCCTAATTGTTTGTGTCAATTTTGTGACAGCCGTAGTCTGTAGGTTTTTACACCTTACTTTTCGTCTGCTACTGCGCCAGACATTATAAAAACCCGTGAACATTGGAAAATTTGGAAGAATGTTGATGTTGATCTTACATCTCTTTGTTTTTTAACATTTATATAAAAAATCATTGAAGTCAGGAACACACCTAACATAAAAACTGGTTCTTCTCGACCAGATGTTATCAGTTCCGGTTTTCCCATTACACACACACACACACAGTGAACAGGAAAGTAGTGCCACACAAAATTCATTTATAGACAATTCAATAGTTAACTGATTGACAATCACACAATTCCGAATACCTTTGAAGTCGCGGTGAGTCATAGAATTGGTAATATTGGCGTTGAAGTAAACACAGGTGTGAAAGTAAGTTACATTGGAGGTCTATATCATCGGCAGAGTTTTCACAACGAGCAATCCAGAGATTAGCTTTCAGTGTGTGCATCAAATCGCTAGGGTGGACATGTTCATCTAATAAGAGACTTTCATGATGATTTTTATTCCAGTCTATATGACATTGCTGCCGGTATCAGGACACAAAACAGTGGAAAGATTTTTTATTTCATTAGAATGCATCGGTGAGTGAATCTCTATCCTTATTCCTTCACATTCCATTTTTGCCTTCCTTCCTTTTATTTCACAATGGAAAGTTTAAAATATAAAAGGAGTGCCATTAGGGCAAAATTGACTATATTTTTCAAATCATTTGAATAGTTTGGGTGAACCAGTCAATCACAGACACTTGAAAATGAGTTAATTGTTATGAAAAATTGACAAAACAGTTTGAAGAAGCCTATATTGCATTAGTAACTACGCCAGAAGAATATTTTGGAGCACAGCAATCTCAATATGCAAGTAGTTGCAACAGTTAATCATACAGTTGAACTTTCACCTATAAATCTTTCAAATTTTGATGGTTTTTATGAGAAATGGAATACTTTTTATTGTTTGTTACTGTCATTATGAACATTATTCTTTGAAAGCAGCGCAGAAGTTTCATTCCGCCATTACTGAAAATAATCATCTAATAGCTTTAGATTTTTTGGTGAACAGATATTCACACAAGAAAAGAATTATAATCACAAAAAACATTATTCGGGATGTCATCTATTCAAAAGGAAACTTTTTCACAAGACAGTTTTTGGATGTTTTTCAAAAAAATATTTAAGCTTTGAAAGCTTCACAACTTCAGATGAAGTTTTGAAAGATTTACTTAATATTTTTCTACTATCATCATCTATCTTGGGTAAATCATTAATAGAATGGGAAAATAAAGCATCCAAGAGAAGAGAACTGCCAATTCATACACAGAATTGTACAACTGAAGTGTAGTTTGTGGAAACTTTTATGATTGTGAGAAATTTTTGGATATATCATTTCATGACCGTATTCAGGAAATGAAAACCTGGAATCTTTGCTACAATTTTTTTTATCTGGTCACACTTTCATTGTCCATCAAAGACCATGTAAGCGATGTTCTAAAAATCACAATACATTATTACATTCAGATAATTTTAGAAGGAACTGAACCTGATATGGAATTTTAAGCAATATTCTGTCAAACGAACTGCACAGTCTTATCCACAATAGCACAAATTTCAGACCGACTATGAATATTAGGACCTTTCGTCACCATAGCAAATGATGATGCAATGATTGTGGGAACTCACTTTAGAATGGGATGACGAGTTGCCAAGATTGGAGCACACACAATGGAAGCCATGTTAGCAACAATTACCAATTCAAGAGTTTAGTGAAACAAGCGAATAAGCTTATGGAGCTAACATTTATGTCGGAGCCACTGAGTATATGGGAAATAATTTAGTATTCCTGCTTTGGGAAATCAATCAGTATTCCTGCTTTGTTCAAAGGGAAGAGTCCAACTTTTGAAAGCGGTGTAGTTGCTAACATTGGAATCGAACGCATCTCTTTTACTATTTAGATTCATAGTGAAATCACAAGGATGTTTAAAGGTTACAATCGACAATTATATTTGGACTTAGTTAGCTGTACCTCCTCTCACTTGGGACATTTTTTTTCGAATGGGGGTCTTGTACAAGTCACAGATAATGCTGCTGATCTTGTATCCAGAGGAGTATTACCACATGTCCTCAAAAATTCCACTCTGGTGGAATGGACCCCTTGGCTTACACTGAATGAATCAATATGAACAAGATCGAACACGTTAAGCTCTACTATAAATGTAGATGTCTATACCTTTGAAAAATGTAAAACATACATATTTTCTTATTTATTAAAAATTGAGGCAGGACATTTTGATATATTTGAAAAATCCTCTTCGAATACAAAACTGAAGTGCATAGTAGCACTTTGCTTATTCAGAAATAATATTATATTAATATTAAGAAATGAAAAAACAATATGTCTAACTGCACATAAAAATAAATTAATTTTATACAGATTGATCCACATTGCTCAGTCACAAAAGTTTTCTCAAAAAGTTATCTAACAAAGCAGCAGAGGAAGCAAAAGAGGAGTACAAACAGTAAGTTGCCTTAATTCCATCTCATGTCTTATGATCCTATTGATTCATCTGTCCTGACATATTTCCATTTTTCAATCAGAGATTCACTCCAAGCATTACCAGAACCTGACCTTTGCACAAGTCCAGCTACTTTCTGTTACGGTGGAATCACATTCAGCATCTTTACCACCACTTATGGAAAAAATGGTCCTCTGAGTATTTGGAACATCTTCAAAGCAGAAACAAATGGACATCCACGTCATAAAAATGGAAAATCACGGATTCAATACATTCTTAAATATTTAGAATGCTTCAACATCTTGAATGACCATGAATATAGTTTCAGGAAGTAAATATTTACCGGCGACCTTCTTACATATGTTACCCACATATGGGTCAATGTAATTGAGAAACATGGAGCTGTGGCGCTAACTAATTTCTTTCACCAGTTAAATTTTGGTCGAACTTTTTATCTAATATACTGGAAAAGACTACAAATCCAATAATTTGCTTTTCTGGCTCTAGCATACCTCATTTTATCTGGATGTTCAAACATCATATGCTTGTACTAATTTTCGGCTGAAACAAGAGGTTTTATATATTGACGATGAATTTCGAATGTTTGGCTTTGTGTGACAGTAACCAATTGAAATTCAATGCTATGAAATCCAAGGCATCAGTTTTCTCTTGAAGGCTGTTGTGACAAAAATAGACGTCGTAATGCGCACACAATTTCCTTACCTGCACTGATACATTTGTCTTGGCGAAATCACATTACTGAAATGGTAAAGCCGGCTTCTCAGCAACTAGGAACACATTTTCGAACTTGAAAGTTTTTTACATCTTAACAACTTCTAGTGCTTTATAAACCTCAAATTAGATCTTTGTAGTATTGCTCACATATGTGAATCTACACCTTTAGGCTGCTAGCTTCTATCCAAAAATTCATCTGCTTGATTGGAGATCCAAATATCACATGCAACCTGAAACATCAAAGATCAGTTGGGAAATTGTCTCTTCACCACAGATACTTTCACGGATTTTCTTCACCTTATCACTCAAACTGCACTTTTTCAAAACTCTTTCATTTGGAGAACGGCATCCTGATGAAATAAACTTCCTGAGACTGATTTTCCAAATGAATATTTATCTACAGCGATTTAAATCCAATATGAATCACTACTTTCGCATAGTGTTTTGAAAATTTCTTTGTAGTGCTTGTGCATCTCCATGAAAAATTAAATCCTTCACGTCATAGATGTCTATAATTGACGCGTCACATCAAAATGTGTTGTAGATAGTGTTGAATTCGAAACCACAGTATTATTTCTTAGGAGGTAGATTGTTAGAATAATAGCACAAGTATATAAGTGTTTTGGTTTTTCAAGCCGAGGAAAGTTACAAGACTCGATATTTTGACAATTTTTTCAATCACTTCAGGGGATTCTTTAATATTTTCATTGATTCCACATGTGGTTTTCACTCAGAATATTATAAATACTGAATTCTTCCATAGCCCCCAGACGACGGAAACGACTTACCAAAACAAGTTGGTAACAAAACGGAATGCGCGCTGTTGGGATTCGTACAGGGTCTACAGAAGAACTACCAAACTGTGAGAGATGATTACCCGGAAGAGACTTTCACTCGAGTATACACCTTCAATTCGGTGAGGAAGTCCATGAGCACAGTCATTCCTAGAGAGGGCGGCGGTTATCGATTGTTCACGAAAGGGGCTTCAGAAATGATATTAAACAAGTGTGCCTTCATATACGGCCACGACGGCCGTCTGGAAAAATTCACAAGAGACATGCAAGAAAGGTTACTGAAACAAGTAATTGAACCGATGGCTTGCGACGGTCTGAGAACCATCAGCATCGCTTTCAGGGACTTTGTGCCGGGAAAAGCAGAAATTAATCAGGTACATTGTGAAAACGAACCGAATTGGGACGACGAAGACAATATCGTAAATAATTTGACTTGTTTATGTGTGGTTGGAATTGAAGATCCTGTCAGGCCTGAAGTACCGGACGCCATAAGGAAATGTCAGAAAGCAGGTATTACCGTCAGAATGGTCACTGGTGACAACTTGAACACCGCCAGGTCGATAGCTACCAAATGCGGTATCGTCAAACCCAATGAGGACTTTCTTATTTTGGAGGGTAAAGAATTCAATAAGAGGATCAGGGATAGTGAAGGAGAGGTAAGCGTTTTCGTGTCCCCTATTTCTATAATCGAATGATTTCTTTCAGGTTCAGCAACACCTTCTCGACAAAGTCTGGCCTAAATTGCGCGTCCTTGCTAGATCTTCCCCAACCGACAAATTCACATTAGTGAAGGGCATTATCGACAGTAAAATTAGCGAGAACAGGGAAGTTGTTGCTGTTACCGGCGATGGTACGAATGATGGACCCGCCTTGAAAAAAGCTGACGTTGGTTTTGCCATGGTAAGATGTCCAGATGAGATGAATACTGTATCACTTCACATTGTCGATTTTTCAGGGTATTGCCGGTACTGATGTAGCCAAGGAAGCATCTGATATTATTCTGACTGACGACAATTTCAGTAGTATTGTAAAGGCTGTTATGTGGGGTAGAAACGTTTATGACAGTATAGCCAAATTTTTACAATTTCAGCTTACTGTCAATGTTGTAGCTGTTATCGTAGCTTTTATTGGTGCTTGCGCTGTACAGGACAGTCCCTTGAAGGTATACCGTAATGGAAATCTATAACGTATTTTGTTTATTATCATTATTGATGTTATAGGCTGTACAAATGTTGTGGGTGAATTTGATAATGGATACCTTGGCTTCTCTGGCTTTGGCTACTGAAATGCCTACCGGAGATTTGCTTCTAAGAAAACCGTACGGCAGAACGAAACCGTTAATTTCAAGAACGATGATGAAAAATATTTTAGGACAAGCAGTCTATCAATTAGTTGTTATATTTGCATTACTTTTTGTAGGTGAGTAAAGTTCAAAAGTTGGGTGAAATATGATGGCTACTTTGAGAGAAAAGTTTGTTCTATGAATAAAAATTGGTGCCTAAATAGATTCTTCCCGATTGATATATGGTATATTGAGGATCCACATAGGGAGCCTGTGGCAAACGCGCCCCCGATCATATATCACTTACGAGGGACCTGCAACAAAACTGTCGCCTCAACAAGCCATCAAGATAAGCGAACGCGACGATCAACGCCCAAAGTCTACTCACACCCCTCATCAGATTACCTCTTCACCTCTAGCAGTTTGCTCACCAAGATCATATGCATGAAACTTGCATCTAGTTTTGCCAGTCTTGGTTACACTGGTTACACGTCCAGATCCAGATCGGAAGTTGAGACAGGCATCACTATATACTATTGATCCAGAAATTCGGTTGAGGATTTCAACCCCAGTGGCGGCGGCTTTGAACTTTTTACCAGGAAATGAAATTCCGATGCAGTATGTGGTCGAACTAATGATGATAGCGCGTGATTTGCAACTAAATGGTACCTTAAATCCTTGATGTATTTCATTGAATTCTTTCAATGTGCAATTTTTCTTAGATATCACTGGTTTTATTTTACTTTTTTTAGTGATTTCAATATTCTCATGCTCTTCTAGTTTTCTATACATATTATATGTAGTAAGCATACTTAATTCCATACCACTTTTCATAAACTTTCAATACTTCAAAGCTGGGGACCGGTTTTCAACGAGCAGGGCAGATTTGTCAAATTTCATTTCAAGTAAGGTTAAAAGAGTTCTCAAAATAGAATATCTCAGCACACCATCAACTATTTTATTATTCTGCTTCACATTGAATCAATACTTTGGAACTTTGGAAACCAATAAACTAGCTCGATTATTGCCGATATATTCATAGACAGCAGTAATTTTTTTTGGGGAGAACTGAGTGGAGAGTGAAAGCAGACTTTGGTGGTCTGTGAAGGAAAGGATCCTGGTGCAGAATTCGGCTGTTGACATGTCTCCCTGAACAAAGATGGTCCCAATAATATAAGTACCTAAAATGTTTAATTATTGTTATAGTTTTATCTATGTAATAAATGCCGTCCTTGGTTTTGTCATTGTGCTGTGTTATTTCTGAAGCAAATTAATGAACTTCCCGCATCCCTAAATGTAGGTATGAAGCGAACAATTTCAACGATGAGCCCATAGGGACTTAACATTATGTATAACAAAGTTTGAAAAATTATCATTCATGTGTTCTTCTACATGCAATGAAAGGAAACTAGGAAATGTTATTAGCAGAACTCAAGTTGCGAATCCAGACATTTTTTCGCCTCCGACTGAAATCGAATCACATTCATGTAATATTATTAAAATTAAAGAGATACCAGATCAACATGTAACTATATTACTGACCGAGAAGTTATAGATTATTGTGAAAAAATCACTGAGGTCAGAGGAGAAATAATTGATATCAACTAGAAAATGGGTCAACTGTAGACTTACCATAATCTGGACCACCAATCCAGAACTTCTTTTTTAATTGGTGGAAGCCAATCCCAGACAATCCCGGTTGACAGTTGACTCAACTGTCAACCGCTACTCTGTTCAACGCATCAAAATGTCGAATTTGAAACGGCACAATCTCACTCCCAAGCAGATTATTCACCAAAAAGGCATTTCCTCAGACGAATATAATGATTGCAACGAATAGTTCTCCATAAATAATCTTTTGTGTAAGCTTTACGTATTTGCTCTGAAAATATGGAGACAAATATGATTATTATAAAAAAGTTGTCTGAATTGACATAATCTTATACTCAAAATTGAATTTTTTCAGTGAACTCTTCGTTCTATAATAAAAAAAAAACGAAATATGCATTTCTATATCAATAATAACAGTAAGTGAGAAAATAAACGCAGAAAATTCATAAATCGTAGTATATCATAAAAGTAAGTTGAGATGTTGAAACGAGAACGTCATCTATGTTGTTGAAATGAAACTTGATTTAGGAATATAAAGAAAGAGGGTTCCAATAATGGCCAAGCTTTAATATCGATAGTATCTTCGCTCTCATTGCAAACATATAACAAATGACAGAGATTTCGGCCTCTGTTGTCATCTAGTTGAACATTAGTGGTACCAAAGTTGTATAGAAACCCTGGTGCTTTAACCGATAGATGGTCCAAGAATCTAAATTTGTCGCGCGTACTTTGTTGAGATCTTCAATTTATGAACCATAATGTGAAGAAATCTTTCATTTGATAGCCATTCATTCCAAAATGTAAACAACGTTGAAGATTAAACTGCCAACTTGACATTGTCGATGGTTCAAGCCCCAGACTGAACGCTCGATTTTCACTCGCTATCGTCCAACCCGTGTTAGGAATCACACGTTAAAAGGTAAGACTTCGTTAGTCCTTAGCTCACACAAGTATCGACTTCTGAGGGTTATCGTTCGTAGAGGTGCGATAGCTGGTTAACGGAAAAAACATATTTTAAATTTTTTTTTTATGTCTACTAAGTTTATTATTCGTTACGACCGATTTCGATTTGATGGACCATATTTTTCAAATAATTTGCGTTGTACTTACCACCGGTGTGATTGAAATGTGAACATTTATTGGATCTCTATATTATTCCTTTTTCAAGAGTGGCCTAGATCGAGTGTTTTTAATTATTTTGTCAGGAAATGGAATGTTTATTGAAATATGTCCCAAAATTATCTCTTTTTACAAAACAAGAAAGAAGTTGCCAATGATTCTACTCATCTAGATATGTAAAATATAAAAATTTTTTAGTCGCTTATTATTAAAAAACATATTTTGTTCGTTCAGAAAGTTTTTTGTGTTTTTCACAAAACAATATAGAAGTGTACAAGATATCTTTTGGCAATCACCCATTCAAATATTCCAAATCCAAACTCGTCATCTGCCAATTGTCACTCTAATTAATTTTGGAACATATCTTCAGTTCTGTGACAAAACACGATCAAACTTTGGTATCTAAATTGTAAGGAAACCCATTTACGGGGGAAACCTCACACTCCTCACATCCAATAGCCTATAAAAAATTAAAGAGAACAAATGATGATCTGCAGGTAGTTATTGTAAAACAGATTGTTTTTCTGAAGCTACCAAAATACAAAATAGATGATACTGCCCCGGTGTTTTAATTTGACGGAACTAGTGTAATGTTAATGCGAAACAAAGGCAACACTAGTTTTAGGAAAACTAAGATTTCAGTTCAATAGTATGTTCTATGAGATATCAAGAACAAAGTTACTCCTGACTTGCACTGATTATACTAATGGAAAACTCTAAAAATATAACAGTGCATACATAATACATACACACCTACTTAGATACTTTACATGACAACCTGGTAACTGGTAACTTTCATGTGTTGGTTACATTGGTTAAAAAGAGAGGTGTAGTTCGGTGAAGTGAATATAGAATGGAATCCGGATAATAAGATTGTGGCGAAGTCGTAATAATTGAAACAATAATTAAATGTACTTCTCGTACGCGAAGTGAACAATTTATAACAAACGTGAAGAGTTGAACTAATTGTGATTCAGATCATTTCAAATATGGATATGATGGAGATGAAGGAAGAAGATAGTAAAGACTGGTTTATAAAGTTGGAAGATTTCCCATTTATTTGCCGAATATGTTGCAAACGCCGAGATGATCTAAGACCTTTCGAAGAGGAAAGCTACTTATTGGACGTATTCCAGACCATCAGAAAAATTGATGTAAGTGTTTTCAAACTCATTCAGTACAAGGGTACTGAGAGCTGCACTTTCTTGGACTTGATAACTTCATGCCTGAGTTTACATTGACTTTATTCCCCTTTCAAATGTTGAAGTTTTCGAAAATTCACTTAGCAACGTAAAACAAAGCTTCCTTAGTTTGTGTCCCTAGCAATGATGTTAGCAGAATATATCAGTTCATCCTTTAAAGCCATGGTTTTTTGAAAAAAAATTAGCAATGTAATTTTTTCAGGTCACAACTTTTTAAGTTGCAGCTTGTATAACATTGAATACATTTTGAATGAATGGTTGAAAATAAGGGATATAATAAGCTGAGACACTTCTACTCACTTTTTTATTTTACATAGTACTAAAGAAAAAAGTTTTTCTAATTTTTATCTTTGTTCCTTGTACTAATTTTTTTTGTTGGAACAGCTTGCGCCCTTTCTTCAATAAGTATCCACTTTAATAATTTCTGTGTAAGTAGCGTTCAACAGTCCAACTGAGGAAGTTACTATGTGGTAAAGGCTTATTGTGAAGAAGATTACTTTTAACTGAGTTCATAATTTCGACACTTTCCATGTTTCCTGGTTCTCATCATTATCATCATTTGAAATTCTACTCCATCTCTCTACGTCATGTTTTTCTCTCAAATGTTATAGGTCGAAAAGTTCTGACTCTATTAATTCCAGTACTGTTGATCTATTGAGAGCTTTTTCCAGTTCTTTTTTAAAGAGGAGAGGTCCACCCAGGAAATAAAATTAGAAAAAAATCACTTTACCATGCTGTTAGATCTTCTTTATTCAGTATTCAGTTGAATACAAAAAAAAATCTCCTAATGTTCATACTGCCTTCAACTGCATACATTACTTTTTCACTTCAAGAACAAGATTTGGGAAGTAACATATTCTTTAGTTTAGCAATGTATATCATAGATGGCAACATAGAATTCAAAATAGTTTCAGAGAAGAACATACCTACAAGTGTGGAAAGAGCAAACATATTGTTTGAAAAGTTACTGCCTACACCAATATAATTCTTTCATTGAATAAAGTGGTAAAAAACATACAAAATTTAATCTCTCTTTTCTTCATTATGATTTCCTACCACGTAGTAACGGCAACATCCATCAATTAATTGATTAATTAATCATCATCTTCATCACGAACGAGTCTCTGTGATCAGCTGTGATGGCGTCATGGCAACAGAATTCAGAGTGGAGACGGAGTGAGAGAGTAATAGATAAAGAAAAGGTGAATA